GAGAGAGAGAGAGAGAGAGAGAGAGAGAGAGAGAGAGAGAGAGAGAGAGAAAGAGAGAGAGAGGGAGAGAGATAGAGAGGGAGACGCCGGGCCAGTGCAGCCGCGGACGGCCCGTACGGGGCGTACCCGCGTACGAACGGCCCGTACCCGTGCACGTACGCCCCGTACGACCATACGGCCCGTACGCCTAAGCGAGACACGGGCCGGGGAGGGCCGTTCCGTTCGCGCTTTGAGTCTTTCGAGACACGCCCTGCGTCGCTCGGCCCGGACCGTGCTGGGGGCTCGCAGGCAGGCCTGCTAGCTACGCCAGAGGGGCACTTCGGGAGGGGGACCGCTGCGTCGGGGGTGCCACAAAGGCAGTTGGTCCATGGCGGTGGTCTGTCGGGGCGTCGTGCAAGATGCCGCCCAAGCGTCGGGGAACGTACGGAGAGTTCATTGCTGTGAACACAGACAGGCAGAGAGATGCGGAGTTGAAGTTCGTTGGTTTCAAATGGATGCAGAAGGGCCAGACGCTGCTAGGCCGGAATGGCAACTTCGTCATGAAGTGCAAGTTGTGCGACCAGGAATTTGTCGGCAGTCAGAGCAAGTGTGTGCTGCACAACACAATCAAGAACAACTGCCCGCAGGCCACGTTGGACGTTCTGGCTGAGATCTGGAACAAGAGTGCTTAGTACTGCTAACGACTTCGATCAGAGCCATTGGAAGAAGATACAGGCATACCTTGCGGAGAGGGGACGGGTAGACAAGAGACGACAACTTGGTCAACAACTGGGAGACTCGTGAGAGGAGGACGAAGATGACCCTGAGCGAGCGGCGGAGGAAGACAACGAGCAGGCTGGAGGGGCGTGTGAGGCGCCTGAGAGTGGAGGTGTCGAGGATGGTTATCGGGCTGACGACGATAGGTCTGTGGAAGTTCCGATCGATGTTGACAGGGAGGCGGACCGTGACCGCGGAGCGTTGAGGGGAGATAAGAGAGAGTCGGTTAACCGACCCCTCATTTTTCACCTCAATTTATAAGAAAACCATAAGGCCATTTCAAGCAAACTCAACGCCAATGGATAGAGTGCACTTCTTACTAATATATTCTAAAATAAAAACAAAAAAATAAAAACTAAAAACACATAAAACAACACCTCAAAAGTGCATTTCCAGGCAATTTTGCCAAAAAAAAATCATCGAAAGATAAGAGAGTGGTCAGTGGCATTGGGACGTCGAGGAAGAGGAAAACTTTTTCGCAGCCCCTTACCGCCGACCACAAGCGGTTAACGGGGAACCCCACTTTTCGGCCCTGAGTAACCATGACAGGAATCGCGAAGAGGTTTCGTCAGTCGCGCATGGAGGACTCGTTCGACCCTAAATGGCAGTAGGACTTAGACGCCTATTTCCTACAGTGGTTCTATGTTAGCGGCATCCCGTTTCACGCGGCGGGGAGGCCAGAGTACAACACCTTAAGGAGGCACCTCGCGACATGTCCCCCTCGGGTGCATCCGACTCTGCCCAACCTTCGCTGCATAGGACAAGGACGTTGTGGAGATGCTCGCGACGCTGATGAGAGGTTTGGCGGCAAATCCATCACTGCTGATCAGATAGTCAACTTTTTGGCAGCCGGGTCTTCGGGGGCGTACCTATTGAGGACAGTGCAGAGGGATGGGGCTGAGCAGGACACGGCGACCATGGTTGTGAGGTGGTGGAAGAAGGTGTTCAATGACGTTCTGCTAGGTTGGCGGAGGAGAGGGGTCGTGGTGCGGGGGGGTCAGCCAGGGGAGGAGGAGATGGAGGATCGGGGGCACAAATTCCACTTTCACCTCAGAGGGGGAGATCTGAGGCTGCCCGCGGCCTTCCGGCCGGTGCAGGTGATTTAGTAGCGGCGAGCAGCTCGTTGTCCGATATTCTGGGTATGTCGATGGGACCTCCGCCGACCGTCGTTGATGCTGGACAGACCCCGGTTGCAGCGGGCAAGACGCCCATCAGCCAGGTTGTACGAGGATTGGATACTAGCGGGGGTGTCTCGAGCAGTTTGTTGATGGAGGCGGCTCAGGGGATGGAGGGTACGGCCAGCCAGCCCATGCAGAGCATGGGGGATGCTGTCCTTTTTTCACCCATGCAGGATACAGATGTGGAGACGGATGCAGACAGGAGGGACCGAGAGAAGAGACAGCGAGCGCTGGCGCTTGCTCAGTCCTGCCCTGTGACACAGGACATCAGAGCGAGTTTGGACGCTGCTCTCGCCCTTGAGACGGGCGTGGCACTCGTCGCCGAGACGGATCTTCCTGACAGTTGCGGCACGGGGGTGCGGACGCATGGTGTCGAGAAGGATGAGGAGGGGGACGCCTCCCGACCCGCGCAGGGTGATGGCGGTGTTTGTAGACCGGGACTTCGCCCCATTCGCGGCAAGGACGGCGATGTGGAGGGAGGTGGTGAGGGCACTGATGGGCCTGTCCGTGGAGGGGATGGACCTCACGGGGGATCTGAGGCAGTACGTCTGCATGATGGATACGAGAAGGACAAACAGCCGGCTGGTGGAGGGGACCATACGGATGCAGGAGGAGGTAGTGCATCTGCTGCAGAAATGCAGCGGCGTGCAGTTGACGGACTTGGCGAGCAGCCAGCTGATTCAGCGGTCGCCGGCCGCCCTGACGCGCTTGCGGAGGGTATTTTACTATTTGTGTGTTGCCTGTAGGTGGCGCCACGTCCGCTGCGGTTTTGGAGTGTGAAGGGAGAGAGGATCCTCTTACGGCAGATCGGCGGGGGCGGATGGAGGATGCCAGTCGGAGAGCTTTGGGAGACCCCCCACCATATGCACCATGTAGCCCGTCAGTGCCCTCTTCCATGACAGGCGTCACCCCTCCACGTTGGGATCCCGTGGAGCAGATGGAGAGCATCAGGGCCGCATGCGCGACAAATACGAGGTCGTGGGATAGTGGTCGTGGCGGATCTGAGAGTCGTTCGTCTGTACGAGGGACACAACAGGAGGAGGGTAGAGGTTTAGACAGTCTTTCTCCGCAGTCGCGGATGAAGACTCGGCCTCATGGATTAGGCTCTGTGAGGAAGGTCACTCAGGCGATGTGAGACATGCAGCCAGGATTAGCTGCCATACCCGCATTTATGAGACCTCCACCGTTGCTGCGAGGGGGAGACATTGTGGTGGATGCAGCACGTTGGGGTCGGGGCGAGATTGGCGCATCACGTTTGGACAGTACCAGGGCCGTCCCTTCGACACGGCGCATCGCCCGCGTGACGAGTGCATCGACAAAGTGGTCGGAGACCGCCGCAGGGGGGGCACGTGCGCTGCCCAATTCGACGGCTGACGATCCGCCTCCGACCCGTCCGCCGGATAGAGTAACGGCGGGCCTGACCTTAGAGGAGGATGTTAGGGATAGGAGACCACGTGCTACTTCTTTTGCAGCTGATCCGTATTCCTCAGGGACTGGCGGTTTGGAGATGCCTCAGGGACAGTGGAGGAGGCAGGATGTCCATCGGATTCTGCTCAGAGACATGGCGACGGCCGAGGTGGACGAGACACAGAGAGAGAGAGTTGTACGGGCACAGGAGGCCGCTCGTGCAGCGTCCGACCAGGCTAGGCATGTGGGTGATGGAGTTGTTGCCGGCCGGACGAGGACGAGGGTGGATGTCTTTGACGACGACGATTAGTTGTTTGTCTACTCTCGACTTTGTTTTAGTCTGTACATTATATGTAGCGAGTTCTCCTTCTTGTAATTAGGACTTCACATTTTCAGTTATCTGCACTAGTTTGCGTAGATATCGAGCTGCAGGTAGGTAGGATGTACTATAGTGTTTTGTGGATAGTTTGTAGATAATAGACATGTCTTCACACATGTTGTTCATGTCATAGGATTTGGTTTACGTTTCGGTGACACAGGCCACAGACATTGGGCAGCACATGACGAGAGAGAGAGAGAGAGAGAGAGAGAGAGAGAGAGAGAGAGATGTTAGTTTCATGTTTTTCTTCCTTATCTTTCAGCTGTCGCTTTTGGATGACCATGCTTCATATTCCGACATTTCGTTTTCACAACATTGTCTTTGCGAGCGAGTCCGTACTCATTTGTGTTTTCCATTGTGATTATCATTGCTTGCTTGAACTTTGTGCATGATGAATGACTCAATGCATGCTCTGATGTCAATTGAAAAAATTGAGATAACTGTTGTTGTCAGGTCTTCACCTTCTCTGCCAATGATGTGTACCGGTTGTTTGTTTTTTGCGGGGCGTTGGGATGTGTTGCATGGCAGCGTTTGCATTGGGGATTGACATTTTTTTTTATCCAGGGGTATCGAATTTATTTTCATGTCGACCCCCTTGCCCCTAACCCCTGAACCAGTACACCCCCCACACCCCCAAAACGCTAAAACCCCCCCAGCCACCTACCCTAAAACCCAAACCCCGCATGACAACCCCTAAAACCAAAACCGTATCCCAAACCCACATCCCTCTAACCCCTAACCAGTAACCCCCTAAACCACTACACCCCCAACCCCGCATGCCAATCACCGAACCATCAACCATAACACAAAACCACACCCCCCAACCCAAAACCCTAGACCCCCACACCCCCAAGCCCCCAAAACCCCCTGAGCCCACTACTCTAAACCCTAAACCCCGCATGCCACCCCCGAACCCTAAA